AACATTAACGAAAATAAGTGCTTCTGACACAACCAAGAAATTTTTATAAAGCCTTTTGTTCAGTATTCTATTTTCAAGAGAATAAAATTTTGTTGAGACCTACGTTTACAAGCTTATACTTTTAAAAATACCCAACTCTGTTTCAAAATTCCTTAATTGTATTCTGACCATAGTTTTTCTTTTGTTTAAAAAATAATTGACACGAACATTTGAAATATTTTAAATTCATTTTTATTGATACTGTTACAATACCGCGAATAAATAAAGCTAAATAATTAGTAAATTCTTCATACACTTATAAAAACAAAAAATAATAACAAAAAATAATACTTATTTTGTTTTCAGATTTTCAAATAGTATGATTTAAAAAAGTAGGTATAATAAAAATTTTTTGCCGAAAATTTATTTAAACATTCACACGAAATTATTACTAAAAAAAAACTTGAAAATGCTAAAACCCAAAAAAGCAAAACGTTAGCGAAAATAATTATTTAAAAAAAAAAATTTTTTTATTCAATTGCGTAATATCGATATGTATTTAACCGATTACTGATCGTACGTATGTATTACATAATTTGTGATTTCTTATTGGCTTGTTGATAGTCGATCGTCACGCGAATATAAAAGGGCATGCCCATAGGCACGGAGGGCATGCCCTTGACCTAGGGCATGCCCAATTTTTTAACCGTGCCCTAAACCCTACCCACGGGCCAGGACCCGTGATAGACCCGGGTGGCCCGCATGCATGAACCGTTTGAACCCTACTGGTAGTAGAAGCTCAGTATTAAGTAGTGAATTATCAGCGCAATATTAGGAATTAATAGATTGATATTGCAATATAAGGAATTTAATAATAGCGATAGCTTTATTGGTACAGTCGACTCTGGATATAATGAACCTTTTTATAATGAACACACTATATAATGAACTTTTTTTTTCAAATTTAAAAGTTCGGTATATAAAATATAGTAAATTACTATATAACGAACTTTTAAAAATTTTTACTATAAGACTCGTCAGTTCGTTATAAACAGAGTTGACTGTATGTACGTACTGTACTATATATAACAGACATATAGTATCAGATAGTACGTACGTACATGCAATATAGCTCTATTTACTAACTTTAAACTGAGATAACATGTGAACAATTAGAGTATCGCCAAATGAAGAAGATAACAAAGTTTTCTCCAAATAATTTATTTAATATTTAAGACAAATTTTAAATATATATATGTTGCATGTCAAATTAAAATTTGGCCAGATCAAAATTTAAAATATTGAGTGAAAAATCTATGTTAAGGGTATTAGCGCATTATAATTATTTTTAATATGACGAGGTATTAATTTAATGTATATACAACATATATATATGATATATAGTTATCACACATTTTAAATTTACATGTGATTACGTATCTAAAGAAATCATTTCATTAGTATTAATTAGCCTATTTTAGTATAATTTTTGAATCAAGTAAATTATTCAGATTTCTTTTCATTATACTCTATTATACAGTACATGCAGCGTAATTTGCAGATATTTAAAAATAGCAGCTAATCTCTGCTATCCTTGAATCAGGCGTCAGATACAGTATATCTCAATAAAACAAAAGAAACTTTGAACAAAAAAAATTTCAAATCAGTTATCATGTGACAAGACACTTAATATGGAAATCAAAAGTTTTCAAATGAACCTTTGAAACGTTAAAATTGAGACTAGGTTTAAAATTTGTACATGTGTTTAATTGAATAAATTAATAAAGAATGTCCCAAATGGAGTTAAATTTGTTCTAACTTATTTAACGATAAACAAAAAAAACACCGTATTATAAATTTGTATTATATTATAAATTATTTAAACGTAAATTTAATTTTATCTTAAAGATTCGTGATTTAGATTGTGATTGATAGCTTCCTATATTCTACATTCAGCAGTTCATACTGCTGACTGGTCCTTAAATTTGTGTAACTTGGTTACAAAAAATCGCAGTACACGTACGCAGGTCGGAATCCATAGCTGGCTGGGCCGGCGTTAATGAATTTTTATTCTAAGATCGATTAAAAAAATCATAAATTAAGTGTCAGTAGAACGCACCAAATTTTTAAATTATCGATATCGGATATCAAATATGTGATGTTTTTTTTTCACTGATTAGTGATTATTATTATTAATTCGTTAAACCAAGGATGAATAGTTAAACCAAGGAAGAATAATACCCTTTATTTCCCCACAACAGGGAGAATGGATCGTTTCACCAACTGATCAGTTCTGCAAAAAGAAAAGGGTTTCCCAATTTGGTAATTTGATCACTAGCATTCTAGAATTCTTTCATCCGGTGATATCAGGATTTCGATAATCTTTCATTAGTGTGGAGGTTTCTTTTTTAAAAAAAAACAATTTATTCATAAAAATACAAATTATTTATATAATTATAATATAAAATAATAAAGGGTTTCCCAATTTGGTAATTTGATCACTAGGCTTAGCATTCTAGAATTCTTTCGTCCGGTGATATCAGGATTACGATATCTTTCATTAGTGTGGAGGATTCTTTTTTTAAAAAAAACAAAATTTATTCATAAAAATACAAATTATTTATATAATTATTATATAAAATAATAATGAATTAATTTAATAATAAAAAAATGTTAGAAAACCACAACAGAAAAAAAAAATATTGATTATAATGATTAAAAATTTTCTATATGGTCTATTGTATTATTCCTGTTTAAATGTATATTATACATTTTTATTCAAGCTAAGTGATCAATACTGTAAGATAATTTTTTTCACAATATTTTCAACACTTATAATTCAAATACATCACTAATTAAAAAAAAAAAAAAATTGCTATTTTTAATATTGTAATATTTTACAAATTAATAATAATAACGAAATTCTACCTAAAATGATTATTTTTTCGTTGGAATAACTATGAAAATGAGAATAACGATAAGTATTACTATAAGAACAAGAGTTAGACTAGCACAAATCCATTTTTTATTCCTTGCACTTTGTGCATCCGCAGTTGCTTCTTCCAAGGTGACGACCACTTTTTCCATCTCTACTACATGTTCTACTGCGGTAGTTTCTATTTCTTGTATCTTTGGATCACTTTCTTCAACGTGTAGTCGTATCTCATCAAATAATTTAAGTAATTCTGCTATGGTTTTTTCAATATGTTGGATATCATCATGACGTCTCTGTACTTCTGCTAATGCTGCTTTAGCATCTCCGATTCCCAACGATGTTTGTGAAAAAAAGGAATTACCATTTGGATTTTGAAGGTAACTTTCAATTTCTTCTTGTGTTGCTTCAGGCTTCACAAATCGATATTGTCTGATAATTCTATCTTTTTGTAGTTGCATGTATGAATCTTCTATTTCTCGGTAAGTATTCAAAGCATTTGTGAACTTTCTTTTCAGGAGTGCATGACGATTCTCTCGTAGTGTAACATCTGGATGATTAATTCTTTGAAGTTTTATATTCTCTGACTCAATCTTTCTAATACGATCCTTTGTTTCACTAAGAGATTTTAGTATTATATCAGTGAGTCGGTCGCGTTCTTGAGAAAATGTTGTTTCTTGTTGTGCTGAAGTTGCTGTTAATAGTCTTGTCTGAATTGTTTGAACTTGTCGGACGTTTACAGAGATTTCATCGATATTTCGTTCGATTTCAGTCGTTTCGTTGAGAAATTTTGATGTATTCATGTTTAATAATTTAGATTTGTACTATGTAACTTAATGTATATGTTATAAAAGTTTCTCGGATTTCAAAAAAAAAAATAAAAAAATAAAAAAAAAAAACAGAAAAAGGCAAAAAAAGAAAAAAAATATACAGTATCTTTATTGTTTATCACAGGCTATTTATGATTTTATACACTACCTAACTTATATAAAAAAATACAGAGCAACTATTTTAACCAATTTTGAAAACTCGTATTGTTTTCGATTCGAATGGCGAATATGATGACTTACATATATGTATATTCTTAATGTGCGTTTATGTAATGTTCGTGATCATGGTTACACTAAAAGTGCGAAACTCCGGTATCTCCGTTTATAAACGATTTAATCACATAAGTTTTGAAATAATGCCTTTTTTCTTTTATCGTTCTTACTCCTGAATAAATGTTAAGAATTAATTTCATATAGTTTAATCCAAACTTTTTTTATTTTATTTTTTTTTTTTTATTTTTTTTTTTTATTCTTTGTTGTTTAGATTTTCAAAAATTCTCTTTTCTTGTTTCATAAATAACTTGATAGTTCTATTTTTAGGCGTCGATTCATAGTCGATTATCTATAAATAGACAATTTAAATTTAGAAATATTAAACTATAATAAAATGGGAATATTTGAAATCCGATTTCCAAGAAATAATATAGTACGTATTATCTTCAACTTTATTAAAATGCATTTTCTTTCGAAGGATAGTTATTAATATTATATATTAAATCATCCCCTTTATGGCATGTTTCACGATCAAATACTTTCGATTTGTTTTTTCTTTAAAGAATTTAAATAAATAAATGAATTACTTATTTTGGTTTCGTATAATCATATATTATTCTCCTCTTTAATTGTCTCCTGTTCGCGATTTCCCGTGTTAAAAATAATGTGAACGCCTCATTGACGGTCAGAGATTGAGTAATCTATACAAAATTAGTCAATTTCGGTTTACCACCTACGTTCGTATGTCCTATATTTGAAATATATACCGATACGTTGATTAATTTGAGAAAAAAGGGTCATGTGAGTACAATACGGAAAATTTATCCGAGTCCCTAGTTGAAACCTGTTTTTATTGTTTTATTTTATAAATCTGGTTAAATCCGAATTTAACTGTTAACATATAAAAAATAAACTGGTTCCAAACTACTCTACGCTGATCGTGTATGCAATTATATCGATATGTATAGGTGTGGTTTTTTTCTGTAACTCGCCTGACCTTTTCTCTCCTTTTCTTTGTATAGTTAACGTTAAAAAATTTCAATCTCGTACGTACATACGTACGTAGGCACTTATCTGTTATGTATAATTTGCTATTCTATTAATAGAAATAGTTTTCTAAATTGAATTTTTTTAATTCTTATTATAAAAAAATAAAATAAAATAAAGTTTCTTTTGTTTATTCAACGACTTTTATTAATATATTTAAATTGATTCACTATTTCGGAGAGGGCGTATTTTAGCAAAGACAAAAAGAGAATGCATAACTAATAACGTTCATTAGTACGTTGTTTAATTACTCTATATGGATTTATCATATTGTCCAATATAATAAATGAAATAATTAACACGATTTTTCTGAACCGTACAGCTCTATATCGGTATGTATAATATTAGTAGTTATTACATGTGAAATTCTGGGATTTATTTTATAGCATATATTATGCTGTTTATCAACTTCGAGTCCTAAATATGTTTAAACAACTTATAAAAAGCCATTTAACTGTTAACAGGATTATTATACTAACCGGTGTATGTACGTATATGCACTCCTCGGATCATTATTCGCCGACTATCATTCTGCTTCCGCTTATTTTGTTGCACCATTTCCGACTTAAGATTGATATGATATCATGAGTCAAAATTCAGATTATTTTCAATCAAAATTTTAAATTTGACTGTACTTCATCCAGATTTCCAACGAAATAAACTAAGAATGTCGTCGATAGGTAATGTTAACGAAATGAGCTTCCGACAAAATAGGCTACCTGAAAAAGTGAAATCTCTTATGACAAATTATAGCACGGCCACTATTGATCATGGAGTTTTACTCCATTTGTTATATAAATCACTTTCTTTTTATTTCCTTGTTATATTACACGGTGTTACGTCATCCATACTTAATATTATACGAATTAAAGGAGTTTAAAAAAAAACATAAATTAATCATGAAAACGGTTTAACGTATGACTTCTGTATATCGGTATAAAAAATTTTATAGCACGGTCATGAATATTACACCATTGATGTTATAAATCACTATCTTTTTATTCGTCATTCATGCTTGTTATTTTACACGATACATACGTCATCCATACTTTTATAGCACGGCCACTATTGATCATGAGTATTACATCATTTATATTATAAATCACTATCTTTTTATTTCGTCATTCATGCCTTATATTGCACTATACGAATTAAGAGGTTTTTAAAAAAGACAAATTGTATAATTATGATCAATGACCGCCGTACTATAATACAAATATATATAGCATGATAATTCTGAGATACATCACACTGGTACAGCGATAATTTTTTTGATTATTCAGAAAATGCCGCGAAGCGGCATTCTCCGATCAAAAAAATCATCACTGCCAACTAGAGGTGCAGGCGGAACCATTTCAATGAACCGTACGACACATAGCAAGTTACCGTTACGGTTATGGCAAAAACCCGAATACGTACCATATAACGATAAATCCCAAATACCATATTAAAATTCTGTACGTATCAGTATCAATGATTTAAATTTGATATCTATCGTATGATTATATTAAACTATCGTATGATTACATTAAACTATAATTAACATATGTAATTGATCAGATATATATAATATATATGTAATAATTAATTAATCAATCGTAACATCGTCATTGCCATGATGTAATAAAAATAATATATAAATTATTTTCTTGAAATTTAGTCTATTAACGAAAGGTTTTTTTTTCACAATGAATACAAAGAATGAAGTTCCAAATAATAATACTCATATTCGCCTTTATCTGAATTAAATTATAATATCAATCAACTTTTTTACATGTCAATCATCCAATTCAAATTGCTTCAAAAGCAAAATGAAATTGTTATATCTCAAGAAATTGACAGTAATCAAAATAACTTATCCAAAGAAAAAAATTTATCTAATTAGTCTAAAAAAAGGCATTGTGGTGGACATAAACAAAATTTAGTTTGGGAATATTTTAATACTGGTAATTACTTAGAAGATGGGCATTATAAAGCTAACTATAAACATCACTCAGTTGTGAAAAGCCACAGATACTTAAGCATTATTTAGCATAAGAATATACAAAGGTTTTTTATAAAAATTAGAAAAATCTGGTGAGACAATTTGGCAACAAAAGAAAAGACCATTAGAAAGCAAAATAAAATTAGGATCAAATTATAATTATTAGAAATTATATTAAAAAAAAAAACAGTATCAAATTGATAAAGCTGTTTTAAAAAAATAGATGTGTATTGGAATTTTCTTTGAGGCTATTGATAACTTTTTTATTATTAATAATGTTTAAAATTTTAAATGTTAAGTATAATTTTTCTTCTTAATATACTCTTTCTAAACATATACTTAATAAAGAAATAGCTAAAGTTAAAAAGTTAATTAATGCTAAATATAAATCTCTAAAAAACTCTTTCTGTAGATCACTTTTACCAAAACAGAAACAAGAAGAAAAAACTTTCCCACAAAATTATTTCAAAAACCTACTAAGTACAGTTATTCAGCTCTTAAGTAAAGTTATCTAAGCTCTCTGGTTGTACTTAAAAGAGGTACATTTTCTTTAAAAAGCTCTCTCATCTTTAAATAAATAGCAATAAACTCGCCAAAAGACAAAAAACTAGTTTTTTTATCCTCACGCAAAAGCAGCTATAAGGATAGCTAACATTCAAATAGCCCCACTCCAAGTACTACCAACCTGCTATATAAAAATACCAAAAACTCTCACAATACTCAAATTACTAAGCCTCAGCTCTCAAGTAAAAATATGATCTTTGAAAGCTCATCTTCTTTCTTTAGTTATTTTTTCCCATCATGCAAACTTGCACAACTCAATAACAACCTACCTAGTACCAAACCACCAACTCCAGAAACAGAATACACAAAAAATTTTGTTGAAAACACTATTAAAGATTGGTTCAAACTTACCTTTACAGTCAGCTTCTCTATTCTGGAACATGCCAATAACTTTCTCTTCTGCATTGATATTACCAAATCAGGAAGAATTCTAAATTTGGCAAACTACTCTCTCTAGTAGATCTGCAAACATGAAGATATTACCCAATCAGTCCTCTTCGATCTTATGATATACAAAAACAACATTGTTAATATTAGCGCCAAATTTTCTAAATTAACCCATACTTGTGACCTTAATACAACTATTCAGATATACAAAAGCAGTATGAAATCATACACCAAAGCTAGAAGTATCTTTGATCTGCCCAGAATCCCATACAACTCCATTACACAAATTGAATCAGACAATAAGTCTAACAAAAGCAATAGTGAATACAACATACTAATGAAATTGTAACCGTCTATTAAGTAAAAATTGTTTTTGGGGCTAATTTTACTATAATGTGTATTTATTTTTTAAAAATTTCTATTTTTGTAATGAGAAAATTAAA